CCACTACCAGGCACACACGGGCCATCCATCCACCCATCTATGCCTCTTCCCCCTCCACCTCCACCTCCACCTCTCCATCACTACGGCCATCGCTACCGCTGTCGGTGTCCAAATCGCCGACACCGTCGCTCTCGCTGTCCCCATCCTCGCCGCCTTGCTCATCGTCAATCTGAATCGCACCCGCCTGAATCAAGGCCTCCCGCCGCTGCCCGTCGACACGATCCGGGAAGTGGGTGCCGAGAAACAAGACTGCCTGGATGGATAATAAGAGACAGACAAGACACTGACAGTATGTGCCCGCGCTCCTTTGTCGACATGATGCCTCCAAGGCAGCCCACCGGCGCTGCGATGGCCATGTCGTTGTGTGCCTGCAGCTCTACTATCTTGTCCACACCGCCGGCCTGCACGGAAGGCACAGAAAGATAACCGTGTGTTTATGGTGTTCATTTTGCATGATTCTCTCCCTTGTTCACTCACCTGATCCACCAGTGTGCAGTAGGGGTTGTCTGGGAGGCCCTCGGTGGCCTGCTTCTGCTCACCCGCACTGCATACGAGAGCGCAACACGTCGGCAGCACACAAACGGCATACTTTGCTGACCTACCTGAGTATTTTGTCCAGGACGGAGATCATGGCGCTGAGTCGCTGGCTGTCGTCGCCATCGAGCCGGTCACAGAAGTACTGGATGCCGCCACACTCAACCACATGCTCAACCTGTACGATTGAGCAAACGCGACATGAGCTCAGGAAACATATTCAATGTGTGTGGGCGGCTGATATACACACCTGCTGCTGCGATCCTCCCAAGGCTATATTTCCGACGCTTATCGCCGCCATGTCCTTCACGGCCTCCTCGGTCTCCCCGCCGGCCGCCATGTTGATCAGCAGAGGCACCAGCCCGCCATCGATGAGCGCCTGCTTGTGGGCAGTGGTGCCTGCATCCAATCAATGCACACCGAACAGCACAGCACCCTACACATGACGTGGGTGGATCTTATGTGTGTGATATTACCTCCAGCTGCCAGAAACACCACCATCCATGCGCCGTATTTCATCCTCGGCTCGGCCATCTCACCGCCATACCACAACGGGCTGTCTGACTCAGTCGACTCCAGCAATCGCTTAATCGACGTCACCGCACCACACTCAACCAACGCGTCACGGTCAGCGTCGGTACCTGTGGGGCAGGCAGGACACAATGAGCCAGGTACGCAGCCAGTGATAATGTTTCGTGCACTCTCAGGCAGATTCACCTTGCTCATGAAATCGATTTACAGCGCCCCATGTGCCCATTTCAGCACACGGTCGTCCTGCTCAGGCGCGGTGATGAGACCGACCAGGACGGGCAGGAAGGGCGCCAACTCGGCCAGTGGGACAGGGAGGGGCGACTTCTTGGAGCCACTCAACAGGTTCCACAGCAGCCGGCCACTCAGGTGGGGCACTCTGATGACACTGCCCTCCCGCATCGCCTTCAGCAGCGGCTGCAGGACGCCATCCGCCAGCACGGCATCGCGATGGGTCGATGACTCCGTCGTGATGATGCACAGCACCCCGATGGCCGCCTCACGCACATTGTCATCGTGTGACGACACGAGCTGCACCAGGGGCGGGACGGCACCCGCATCCACCACCGAACCGGCGTGGTGAATCGCCAATCTGCCGAGGGCCAATGCTGCTACGTTCTGCACCTTCTCGCACCCGCTCAGCTGCTCTACCAAGGCTGGCAGCACACCCGCATCGATGGCCTTCTGCTCGATGGTGCCGTCTCGATGGCGCGGGAGGGACAGCAGCGGGCCGAACCACCCTACGGCTTGAGCCCGAACCTGCGATTCGTTGGCCGATGCTATGAGGTGACAGATATCGGCGATGGCGGCGATGATCTCGGCCTCGACTGCCTCCAACCCTCGCTGCTGGACGGCCTGGCCGTACGCCTCCTTGGTGCCGATGGATTTGCACAGGTCTCTCGCCTTGGTCAGCACTGCTTGGGGTGAGGGATGGCCATCTGTGCCGTCCGAATCCATCTCGTCCAACCTGCGAGGAACAACACACATACACACGACGCGGAATAGTCCCATGCCTTCTCTGCTCCCTCCTGACCTGTCCACGTGTGCAATGCTACGCTGCCCGCCCAGATCTCACGACGCCACACCTGCCATGAGATGAGAGCCAGCGAGGAGAATATGATGACACGACATGAGAGACGTATCTATCTGCAGTAGGGATGCTTTCAGTTACCGTGGTGTGTGCAGGCTGTGACGGGGAGAGGCTCACGGAACCGATCAAACGCAACAAAATGGAGGTGCGGCTCGCTGAGGAGGATGATCGAATGTATCGCCTTTTTTTTGTGCTTCTTTCTGCTGTGTGGCTGCAGATCTGGACCTACAGTGCTTCAGCAGCCATTGACAGGTATTCTCGTCGAGCTTCGAGCAGAAATAAGAGCAGAAATGTCAGTGAGCGATTGAGGACGGTGTGTGATCAGACGACAAGAGAGACAGACCTCCATGAGGTTCATGGTGCGGCAATGTCGAGTGTCGAGTCCGTGTCGCATCCATCTCCCTGCCGTCTCACGTGATGCATTGCATGGACCCTCCCCCCTTCCCCAGAACACGACGAAAAACATGCAAAAATGCGATGTGATGTGTGGGTGTGTTGACATTTGTGAAAACGTGGAACTGCGATCTGTCTGTCTGTCACTCTGTCTGCTTCGCCCTCTCGACGCGGCCTATCCACATTGACAAAAGTGTCGGTCGGTTGGCCGACCGACCAGTCAGCCGCCCGATAACGCAAGCAATCGAGCAAACACTTGCACGCACCGGGCTCACGCACAAGCAAGCGGGATAAATAGCATAGCAGCCATCCACGCAATCCACATCTGACCGACAGCCATCCAGCCAGTGTTCTAATTACGCAGAGAGAGACGAAGCCGGGGAGGGCGAGGAGGGGGAGAGGGGAAGGGCTGGCTAGCTGCGGCCTCAGTGAGGTCATGAGGTGACCAGCAGGTAAACGATGGGTGCGAAGATGGTGGCCGCAGCCCCGAGGTAGGCCGCAGTGAAGTACTTGCGAAAATTCCTCTGCACAAACAGCAGTGCCAGATACTCCACAACTGCAGATTGCACCACACACACAGGAATGGAGCGAGCGGGTGTCAGTCAGGCGGCTGGGTGTTTGAGTGTCCTGACTGACGTACGCACCGCCGATGAAGGGGGCGACTTGCAGGAAGGGCTCCAACGCAATCGAACTCAATGGGTCGAGTTTCCTCTTCAACTGCACACAACACACAGACACACACACACACACCCCGAGTCACCTGCTGTTGGGCCTTCCTGTGTGTGTGTGTGTGTGTTGTCACATACATCGTCGTATAGGAATGGGACCTCGCCGGCCCACAATGCCTTGGATGACGACAGCACCTCGCGCTTCTTGGTCAACAAACTCCTCACCACCTCCTGCAAACCACCCACACAGAACACACCACGTTGCCCATATGTCTGCACGCCAATGCATGATGCCAGTGAATGCATTTGTGTGTGCGCTCCCTGTGCTGACCTCCTTGAGTGGTGTGCCCTCCAGCGTGTCAGCTGTCGGGATCAGCTCGTCCAGCGTCTTCAGGGAGCTCTGAAGCGACTCGGACGAGTCAGCCGTCTGCACACACATCACACCGCAACAAACACCATGCACCCTTCCCGTGCTGCCAGGCTGCTCATCAGCTGATCCACGACGCACCTTGAAGGTCTGCAGAGCAGCCGCGAGCTGCCCCTCGTCGAAGATCAGGTAGTCCGCACTCGCCAGCAGAGGGAGAGCGAACAGCGCCACCAGAGCACCAGCCAGCTGCAGTCCCCAGCTCTTGGACTCCTCCACTGCTGCACTAGAGGGACCCACACACGTGAAGAACGGCCTCCTAGACGCTGAACCGCGCTGCTGCTGCAAGGGATCAGGATCGGCACTCAGATGTGGCGATGCCGAAGGCGGCGGCAATCCGGTCTGTGGAGATGGTGATCTGTGCGATGATGATGAGTGGAGGGTGGACAGGGAGGCAGGCGTGAAGGCCAGTGCATGAGGCAGAAACGCACACACGGCGATGAGCGGTGTCGTGAGGCGCCTCCTGTCGCGAGATCTTGGTCGATGTGGGGAAGTTGAGGGCGCGTCAGACTCTCGCGTCCACGCCATAACACGCTCCGCCTTCATCTTCGCTTCAAAGATCCACTCTCGAGCTCGCAGATTGCCGTTTGCCCAACGGCGAAGAAGCGCCGTCGCAAACGAATGGAGCGTTAAGATGGAGCGGAGGAGAACAGAAAGGACTGGAGGAGCGTGAAGACCGCGATGGCTCCGCACTGATCATCTTCCACCATCATCAGCAGCATCGCCAGTTGTGATCACTCACTCACATGAGGCTGGCCGTCCCTTCGTGCTGCGACGGCCGTCTTCGGCCGCTCGAGGGTGACACAGAGGTGCTGGTGGAGCCGCCTTGGCACGATGACATCGACATTGACGACGAGAGTGAGGATCTGGACGAGGGCGTTCATGTGGAGCTGCTGCACAAGGTAAGCGAAGAGAGAGCCACAAACTGCCTGCAGAGGCAGTGCAGGAAGGCTCGCTCATTCAGTTCTCTGTGTGTGTGTGTGTGTTTGCTATCCATTAAGACGTTTGCCCCGCGGCTGATCGACCACTCGCTGTCGTACGTGGGTGTGGGCATCAAGCACGTCGGCGGCAGCTGCGGCCTCAAGGCAGCCGACGTCATGTCCAAGTCCACCACGTGCGCCTGCCTCCCCCCCTCCCTCACCCGTGCCACCACACCCACCACACAGGCCACATCCGTGTGTGACGAGCCAGACGGCGAGGAGCAGCACGTCACGCCCGTCCACCGCCCTGTGCCCCTTTTGCTGCCGGCAGTCGTGTACGTCCGTCTGGCCGGGTGGCTGACGTCCCCACTGTGGATGTGCCCCCTGCGCAGGTGGGCGGCGGCGCACTCGTCATCGGTGGTTGGGGTGCCTGAGGCACGCCCGACAGAGGAGGCCGTCACGGCGATGGCAGGAGCGCTGCTCAGTGGCGGCATCAGCATCTCGGTGAGGGAGCTAAGGGAAGACATGATGGTGGTGCAGTGATGACGCGACGACCTTTCTGACGTGGTTCGTTCGTCTGTGTGCGCTCATGTTGTGTGTCAGGTTTTCCTTGCCTTGCGCATGATGGGGGTCAATGTGCTGCTGCGATGAGGTGGGTGGGTGGGTGAGTGGGTGAGTGAGTGGATTCAAGAAGCCTGACTGGCTGTGGCTGTGCTGCGTGGTGTGTGGGGTGAGTGATGTGGCGCTGGCTGACCCGCCCGCCCATTTGATTTGATGTGCGTGGAGAGGGAGGGAGCGAGGATGTGGGTGGGAATTTTGTAAAACTAGTTGTGTGTGGATATGGTGGATATGCGATTAACCAACTAGCCAAGCCATCTAGGGGGCTGGGGGGCGATGTGTGTGGATGGATCCTCTGTCTGTTATGGTATGTACTTGTGCTGCATGCCTTCACCAATGTGACGCCGAATGGGGGTGGGGTGGGAGGGGAGGTCTTCAGTGGTCCCCTGCTCACATGCACACAACCGCGAAATGGTTTCCTCTCTCTACCCACCCATCCATCCATCCACTGCTAGTCTAGTCTAGTCTCTTCCTGTCAGTGCCTCTGTGTGTGCGTGTGCGCGTGTCTGTGTGCGTGCGATGGTTTAAGCGGCGGCTGTTGTCAGTCATTGGGTGTTGCGTGAGCAAGCATGAGCATAAAAGGGATGAATGGGTGGGTGGGAAGGCGGCGGGTGTCTGTCTGTCTGTCATGGTGATGGTGGCGACGAGTGTCATCTCGGGCGGGTATTTCTTGAACTGACAGATAGATAACACTTCCTTCCGCTGCTGCACAGAGTGCATTCATTTTCACCGTACATAGCTGTGAGTATTTTCATTCGCTGTCTTCCCGGCTGCCTTGGTTGCCTGCCTGCCTTGTACGTATTTGTCTGTCCGCCGTCCTGCGTGTGTGTCACGACGTGTGCTGCGCTGTGGTCTGGTGTGCTCGGGTGTCTTGCGCTGGACGTGGTGGCCAAGTTTGACGGTCACCTCGGTTTGTGTGCGTGTGTTGTGCGTGCGTGTGTGTGTCGATAGCCATGTGTGGGTGGGTGCTAGTGCTGGTGTTTCTAGTTGCTGCATACTGGCTTTTTCTGCGCACACGACACGTACATGCTGTAATTGCGTGAGCGTGTGTGTTGTGCGTTGTGCGTTGGGTGTCGGTGTGTGTGTGTGGTGTGTGGTGTAGGGTGGAAGGGGCAACGAAGCTCTGTAGAAAGACCTACTTAAGTGCGACTGGATCAAGTGTCCTCACCAACGAACGAACGAACGAAGCACCCACACACGCAAGTGGTGAATCCCCCATGCCGATAGATACACACCCACAATCACACACACGCGCGCAGACAAACGCAAACGGTGGACAGGCGGGCATCTCTCTGTGTTTCTTAAGCAATGTGTGAGTGGATGAACGAATCAATCGGTCAGTTAGTTAACCAAGCAGCAAAAGGCAGAGAGGAGAGAGAGAGAGTGAGTGCTCGTCGGCCTTGCTATGCTGTGTCGTGGCGGCGTGTCGGTGTGATGATGCATAAGTCACCTGCCCCCTCTCTCCCTCGTCTCTCCCTCCCTCCCTCCCTCCCACCCTATCAGCTTTTGTGTCAGTTGCCTGTACAATGCCTGCCTCCCGGTCTGCCTGGCTGGCTAGGTAGTTGCCCACTCATCTAGTCACCATCGCGCCAAACAGACCCCCCCCCTCACTATGGTTGGTATCTACACGCCCACACAATCGTACGCGCAAGGAAAAACAGACAGACAGAGAGAGAGAGAGAGAGAGACGTATGTATTGACAACTATGGAGCAGGGTCCATCACCACCGATAGATACCACTAGACACAACAACATTCGTCCATCCGCCCGCCACAAAACAAAACGAAACCACCCCAGCCACGTCACGTCTCCCCAGCACTGACTGTCCGCAGCAGCTGCAGCTAGGACGGCAGCAAGGAAACAAGCGGCCACAATGCGATCGCGGGAGGCAGGTCTGTCTTATGTAGGCTTACCCACCCATCGAATCCCCCCCCACCCACCCACCCTGTCTGTCTGTGGCCAGATCACTGCTCGTCCCAGCTATCGTCATCCGCCTCGTCCTCTACTGCAGCAGCCTCCATACTAGCACGAGCTATGCCGCCCCCCACACCGACCCCCACGGCCCACGGTGCAGCCACATGGCCGATGACCACCGGCTCGCTCTGCCGCTTGGTCGGCCGACGCGGACACTGCACCAAAGCTGGGGCTGCCTTTTCGCCGCCCGCATTGGTGATACGCGCGGACGGCTTGGGCTTGGCCTTGGGCTTCCGCCCTCCCATGACCTTCACCCTCACCCTTGGCCCATCCCCGTCTTGATCTCCGTTGGTATCCATGCGGTAGAAGTTGTGGATCTCGTCGCCCCATACCGAGTGCAGGAGCCCCTCGAACGACAGCTGGGGCAGCCCCAGCTGGCGGATGATGCCGTTGCGGCTGCGGAGGGCCCTCCCGAGGGCGTCTATGAGGCCCGAGAAGGTCTGCCTGGACACCATCTGGGAGCCGCCCTCGTACCGCTTCTTCTGGCACTCGAGCTCCACACGGAAGCGGCGGTACTTGCCGTCCCACTTGATGCCCAGCCCGCCCTTGGGCCCCACGCCGTTGCCATGGGCGCACACACCGTGGCTGCGGAGCCGCTGCAGCAGGGAGCGGGCGTTTGCCGTCAGGTCCTCATTCGACAGCTGCTCGTCTGGGTGGCAAGCTGTGCACATGGGTGGACAGACAGACGATAGATGGATGAATGGGTGGTCGGAGGACATCAGTCCGTGTGGCATGTCTGTCACTCACTCACCGTATCGGAGGCAGAGTTCGTCGTCGATCTTTCTGGTGTTGAGTAGCTCCTCGCCGACCCGCACCGCCTCGAAGAACGCCTCCTTGACGCCCTCCTCGGTCATGGTATCGGCCTTGATGGTCCTCTGAACTTTCTTTTTCCCGACCATGACGAGCACGTTGAAGCTGTCGTCGCTCTCGCGCCACTTGATCGTCGGCTTGTCGGGCTGCTGCAGGGACATCTGAGCCGCCAGCGCCTTCGCCAGGTTGGTTGCGCGCTTGGCCACCTCCATCTCCCCTGCAAGACGATACAATACACATAAGTGGATGTGTAGGTATGTACCCTCTCGCTTACCGAGCGCTTCCTCATCGATGTCTTGCTCGCTATCCTTGCCGCGACAGGGCCCATGACCGCCCATGTGTCCGTCGCGGCCGCCCTTGACGGGTCCGCCCCTCCCCATGCCCATGCCGCCTATGCCGCCCCCCGTCCATCCCACCTGGCCAGCTCCCATCCCGTGGTGATGTGAAGGATTGGGATGCTCGTCGACATGCTTCGCATCGACAGCGCCCTTCGCCACAGTGCCCTTCGTCATGAACGGGGGCAGCGGCGGCAGCCAAACGCCCCTCCCGGCGCTCTTGGGCTTGGCGCACCCACCACGCCCAGCAGCGATGCCGGCGCCCCTCCCACGCCCTCCGGCACCCAAGCCAATGGCCATGCCCATGCCCATGCCCATACCCATGGCGACGGGCGCAATGGGGAAGGGCGGCATGAAGGGTGGCCACCCAAACCGGTGCGGCAGCCCGCCACTGCTGCTGTTGGGGGGAGCTGGTGCTGGTGCTGCTGCTGGTGGTGGTGCTGCTGCTGGTGGTGCTGGTGGTGCTGGTACTGATTCGGCGCTCGGATCCTTCTTGGCGACGACCGACTTGACGGGGGGGCCCCGCAGCTGCGGAGAGGGCTGCAGGGGTAGGGCTGTCGATTTCTTGGTCTTCTTGGCGCTGCGGGTCTCCATCTGCGACGGCCGCTTCTTGCTGGTTTCTTGGCGTCTGGTGGGCGGGCTGGGCGGGGAGGGGCCCAGGGAAGGGTCCTTGGCCAGCGACGCGAGGAAAGCCGCGAAGCACTCGGCCGGCTCATCTTTGCCGTCTGGAGCGGCGTTCTGACCCTCCTCCTCCTCCTGATGGTGCTCTGGTCCTGCCGATGACTGCTGCTGCTGCTGCTGGTGGCCGGCCGCGAGCATCGGGATGTCGTCAAGGTCGGGCAACGGCACGTCTAGGGCATTGGCGTTCATGGGGTCGCGGTAGCTGTAAGAGGGCTCGGGAGAACTCTCGCCGTACGGTAGCGGGACGGCCGCCATCTTCAAATATATATGATTGGCCATCTTCTCGACCAGACTCGTGTCGGCCAAGTCTGATCGGTCGGCCGGCTTGGATGGTGCCGCCTGCTGCTTCGGGTCAGAGCTCTCGGGGCTGCTCACATCGCCGCTGCCGTCCGCCTCCGTCTCCATCTCGCTCACACGACCGTTGGCACCACTCTCGGAAGCGACACCGCCCGGGGCAGCAGCAGGCGGGTCAACATGCGATGATAGGTTTGGGGCGGGACTGGGGTTGTGGGGTGGGTAGAAGGGGGGCAGCAGGCTGGCAGCGTTGGCGACCTCCTGCGATTGGGCGTCCTTGTACGCCTCGCCGAGGCAACGATCCATCTCCTGGCCCTCCCGACTCGGACACTCGACGTCACGGCCGTGCCGCTCCTCCGGCTGGTGATGCTCCATCCCCCCACCAATGCCTCCTCCGTCCATCCCACCGCCGCCCCTCTTGGCCTGGGGCGAGGGCAGAGCGCTGTCCATCGTGTACATGGGCGGCAGACGGAATGGGGACGGCCCCATTGGCTCGATGGGCGACCATGGGAAGTAGCCGTTGTGTCCGAGGAGGGAGGAGGGATCGTCCAGTGGGTGGTTGTGGTGGTGGTGGTGGTTGGGGCTGGGGTAGGCGTAGTCTGGCACACGCAGGGTGGCCGTGGGCAAGCCGTAAGCGCGGTTCGCTTCCTCGCCCGGCGGGCCCTTCGATGGCGACTCAAAGAACGCATCCCCATCACCACCTGTCAACACAACACAGCACAGCCACACACATGGCACGGACGTCACGTCCATGTGTGTGCCGCCACCTCTCTGTATGTGTGTGTATGGGTACCTGTGCCATGGTTGGCCTGTCCGCTATGAGCCACCTCAGCCACCGAGTCGAAAACAGCCGAGTGCGCGCGTGCGTGGCGGTCGGGTGACTTGGCGCCGTATGGTGAGTTGCTGGCTGGCGGCAGAAAGGGGGAGGGGTCGGACGGGGGGAAGAACGGGGGCAACGAAATACTCAGGGGGTCTGGGGGGAGACAGACGACAAACCGACCGAGGAACCACAGACAGAGATGGATGTATGTGCGTATGATGGGGTCGGTGGGTGGACGGTACAGTACCTGATGATGTGTGCATGCAGCTCTGTATGTCCGAGAAGATGGCAGAGGTGCCGCCGATGCTCGTGAAGGACACACACTCGGTCTCATCCCTCTTGCTAACAACACAACCTGCAAACAGACACACCACAAGCATCAAACATGCCCACGACAGTGCAACACACTCGCCAAACAAATACCCGTGCATTCCCCTGAGTCCTTCCCTCGGCCCGCCCTCCCCACCTGCAGCGACGCTGCCTCCGCTCCGGTGATGCAGATAGGTCGTATATCCACGCTTGACTATGTGCGACAACGGGTGCGGGTACGGGTGTGCCTCCGCATTCATCAGCATGGGGTATTCCATGGCGCCGTGGCTCTCCATCAGCCCGACGCTCCTGCCGCCTCGGCGCCCACAACAATTCTGTATCGACATGGGATGGGACGGAAAAGACAAGATGGACGCGCTGCAGCTACGGCGGGCAATGGGCGCTGAGAGTGGCCTCAACGAAGCCTCTTCTCCTCTTCTCATCTTCAACAACTCGCCCATGGCAACTCGCGATCTGAGCTCGCAGCTCCCTTGAAACCCCTTCTGTCTGCGGATGCGCCTGCGGCTGCATCGCTGTACATTGAGAAGAGCTCAGTTGGCATCTGTGGCCCAGCGTTTCTGCAGTCTTCGACGAGTCGCATCTGTTCAACAGTCAACGATGCGCTGCACGGCGGCCTCGGCGGGTGGGAAGCGCAGAACAGCCCAACGACACGGGCGATTGCTGTCAAGAAGGTGCGGCGAGATCTCATGGCTGGCAAGGTGAGAGAGAGGACAAAACACACACATTGTCACTTGGGTAGCAGCTGCGTGATGGCTGTGGGTGTCAGGCAAGTGAGCCGTGTGCAGCTGCTCCAGGGAGCGCCAAGAAGGCGTCCAAAGAGAGGCCGAAGCCGGCAGCCACCGAGTCACCACCATCAGCACCCTCTGTCAACGGGGTACGATCCGCACACACCATACGAGCGAACTACTGCATGTCTGTCTGTCTGTCTGTTTGCAGGCGGCGTGTGCCGACGGTGAAGGATGTTCGACCAGGGCGGTGATCGGTTCGGATGTGCCGTGGCCTGCCCCAGTGCCCTCGACCCTTTCTCTCGACGAGCGCTTCGCACTCTGCCGGTCCGTCGGCGCCGAATGCATTCAGGAAGACGTAAGCCAGCACACAGCACAGCACAGCACAGATTACATGGCTGGCACACAAATATCTTAAAGCTATCCATCGTGTGTGTGTTCAGGAGTTGCGGGCGTTGTTAGAGAGGAAGGCTCACCCGATTTGCTATGACGGGTTTGAGCCGTCGGGTAATACATATCGCCCAGTGGATCCCCAAGGCCATCAATGTCAACAAACTCACCAAGTGCGGCTGTGTGTTTGTATTCTGGGTGGCCGACTGGTTCGCTATGCTCAACAACAAACTCGGCGGTGACATCAACAAGGTCAACCAACAATGAGTGCGAGATCGATGGCATACCTGTGTATATGTGTCTGTGTGTGTGTGTGTGATGGTCAGATTCGCAAGACGGGCGAGTACTTTATTGAGGTGTGGAAGGCCGCCGGCATGGACATGAGCAACGTCAGGTCAGACAGACAGCAAAGAGGGAGCGAGCCGTGTGTGTGACTGTGCCCCCTGGCGGCTTGCAGGTTTCTGTGGGCGTCAGATGAGATCAACAAGAACTCCAATCAGTACTGGATGCGCGTAGTGGACATCGCCAGGAAATTCAACATCACACGGTCACCTCCACAAACCGCCGCACACACCACATGACATGTCGGAAGTGGACTGTCTGTGTGTATCTGTGTGTGTGCAGGATCAAGCGCTGCGGTCAGATCATGGGCCGCGGCGAGGGCGACGACCAGCCGTCCGCACAAATCATGTACCCATGCATGCAGGTACACTCTCACTCTCCCACGCACACACATGCCCACGTATGCCCACCATCCCTCCTCGCCTGTCTGTCTGTGTGTTTGTCAGTGTTCGGGCATCTTTGAGCTGAAGACGGAGATATGTCAGCTGGGCCTCGACCAGCGCAAGGTCAACATGCTGGCAAGAGAGTACTGCGACGGGCTCAGGATGAAACACAAACCCATCATACTCTCACACGGCATGCTGCCAGGTCCGTCTACCACTCACTTAGCCGCCTCATGCGGTCTGCCGCATCGCACCCCTCGTGTGTTGCCGTGTGTGTGTGTATAGGGTTGCTGGAGGGCCAGGAGAAGATGTCCAAGTCTGATCCCGACTCGGCCATCTTCATGGAGGACCTGTCGGCCGACGTCAACAGGAAGATCAAAAAGGCCTTCTGCCCACCACAGGTACGATGGACACTCGGCACCTGCGTCTGTGGATGGATGGATGTGTGTGTGTGTAGGTGTTGGAGGGCAACCCGTGCATGTCGTACATCGAGCACATGGTCTTCCCCATGTACGGCGAGTTCCGCGTCGACCGTCGCGACCAGGACGGCGTCTTTCGCACAGTGCTCCGAAGACTACCTGGTGACACCAGCAGGACCATGACCATGAAGGACCACGCGGACCAGAAGTCAGCGGCGCGCCACCACGGGTGCTCGCACCACGGCCAGCAGCAGCCGTGGATGGTGAGCTCGTCGACCACGAAAAGGAGAGACGGAAAGGAGAGACGATTGAGAACAACAAAATTGACGCCAGCAGATCCATAAAGGCGCGATTCTATCGTTGTCGGTTTTGCCATTGGCCATGTGTGAATGACTGACTGAATGAATAAATGACTTACGGAGCGCAGCTGGGGGCAGGCAGGAAAAGCTTTATGCGCTTTGTGGCTTTGTATCGTGAATGTTCGGGTCCATTCAGCGGTTCAGCAGATTGGACATGCCCTTTTTTCTACCCCGACGACCACGATGTGTGTTGATGCATCCATGACGTCTAGCCCATGCGTCTCATTAACACTGTGTGTCCATTTGCGAGAATGAAAGTCCACGAATGAAAGAGTCCCTCTCTCTCGTTCACAAAAACGGTGACAAATGTAAAATGTAGGCAGAGATGAGCCATGAATGACAAGGCACAGAGGTCCTCACGCCGCCATTCACGCCAGACCCATCACGCGTGGGCTCCCACCATCGGCGGGGGACAGTGGGATGACTGTTGCTCCCCTCTGGGGCAGCTGGGGCATCTATACTGCTCTGGTTGGTCGCCACGCCCAAGTCGACAGGTCCGAACTTGCAAGCCAGCCGCTCCATGTCTACGTCACGACTATCCTGCACACACACGCACACACATACAAACGCATTGATTGAGAAACCAGTTGATGTGATGTGATGTGATGTATGTGTATTGTGTCGTCCGCACCCGTATCTGTCTGGCGCATCTGAAGGGCCGGTGCAGATCGCCGTTCTCTGCGTCCTTTGACCGACCATCGTCGCTCACGTCAGAACCGTCAAAATACGCCTGCATGCATCCAATCACACACACCACACACACAAAGAAGAGGGAAATGAGTCTCCAGTGTGGGCTCTTTTTCATTCTGTCTGTCTGTCTGTCTGTTGGTTACCCGTCGTCCGTGCGTCATGCCAGGGCGCCAGAAGGGAGGCTCCGATGCACCCGCACTCGCTGCTGCTGCTGCTGCTGCCACCGCCGCTACCGGCGGCTCCTCATCCACCTTGTCCCTGCCGAACTCGGGCGTGCCAATGTGAGCGAACACGCTGTCGGTGACTGAGGCAACCACACACAAGAGGCACACAGAATATGCATCCCCCTCTGTCTGTCTGTCTGTCTGTCTGTCTGTGTGTGTCGGTCAATCAGTCGCCCACATACCATCGGTTGTGTGTCGTGATTGTTTGCGTCGAGCATCCTCGTCATCTGTCGGACCGTCCGGCATCGCCCTCTTGTCTTGCGCACTCAACCCGCCCTGGTCAGCCCACAACCCCGAGAACAAACCCAAGCTATGGCCGCGACGACCGGACCGCTTTACGGCCAGCGGATCGAGCGACAACACACCAGCACCACCACCATTGCCGCCCATGCCCATACCCACAGCCGTACCGACACCGTTGGGGATGACCTCTGCCGCAGCGGCATACGCAGGCCGGTGGTAGCGGATCCCTGACGACCGACCTGACGTCAATGACGAGCTATAGCTGTATCAGGTTCAAGACACAACGATGGACAACGATAAATTCGTTAACCAATGGATTGAATCTGTCTGTTTTGCTATTCTCCGTCGTCGAAGCAAGCGATCGCTCTTCTGAAAGGCAGCAGACAAGGACACCGACGTGGGTTGTCTGGTGTGTGCAGACCAGACTAAGTGAGGTACTTGCCAACCTTCAGATAAATGCGTCGAGAAAAGGAGACGGGAACAAAAGAAGAAATCACCATTTCATCTGCACGCACAGACATGACAGAGGGAGGCATGTGAGCACACCCATTGCAGCGAAAATGCACCATGCATTTGGCCCTATACATCAGCCATGCACCACACCATCACCACAGCCAAGACAGACGCACGAGGCCACACATGTACTCACCTGATGCGGTTGGTTTATGCGAGAAGAAGGTGCGTGCGCACTCTGCAGGCGCCAGACAATCTCCGACCGATCCGCACAAGGCAGGGCATCACCAGGCGGGGCCTCGCCCGGGGCACGGCGGTGGAGGTATAAGTGGGGGATGGCCTCCGGACGAGTTGGGAGGGGGAGAGGGCGACGAGGCGGACAATACAAGCCTAGAACCAGCCAAAAAGAGAAACAACTGAAGGGTCCGTGGCTGAAATAAGGCTGAGAAGCAAAACGCGGACGAAAAATGTGAAAAAACTAATGCGAGCTCGTAAATCAGGGTTTGCGGGGTTTCAGTCTCTTCGCGCGGAGATCTCGCCGCGCCTTTCTGCGGACAACAGGAGGCCATACAAGGGGAATAAAGGTAGACAGGATGCTTGCTGCCGCAGAATCGGCGCAGATGAGGGCAGATTCCCTGAAATCCGCTCACTTTTGATGAGACGTCACTTTTTGCTCGTGGGGGTGCTCAAACAGGCCTCAACTAGACCTTCAGGCCATCCTCCCTAGGCCAGTGTCCTGACAACAAGACGACACACACAGCGGTTTTGATGTCTCCGTATGTGCGTCTATTTATCTGCTCATATTCTGACCTCAGACGGCGGCGCGCCAGAGGCGCCGGGAGAGACACCGCCGCACCTGAAATGGAGACGAGAGAGACACAGAGGGAGGAGGGCCGGTGTGACGATGGGTGGATGGTGTGGTGTTGTCGACATTTCTCGCCTGGCCACAGTGGCCAGTGTGTGGGGGGTGGCATGGGGATGGGGATGGGGGGACGCGGAAGCTGCAGACACGCAGACGCAAGACCACACCACACCACATAAGGGACGCTTCTTTCTGGTCGCTCTTCCTCAATACACATTTTGGAGACACAAGACTGCACGCGCATACAGCTGCTCCGCGCCAAGACAGAAGAGGGACTCTGAGGGAGAGCGCAGATGTTGACGAATATAAAACGTAGGCAGCGGTGCATCTGCTGGAGACACAAGGCACCACACCAGCAACCAATTCTTGCTCTCTGTATCTCTCTGTGATCACGTGCGTGTCTATACTTCTGCCCATACCGTCCCGCTGACGCTTCCCTAAGCAGCGCCCCGCGTCTGTGCGGCTGTGAGTGTGCCGAGGGGGCATCGCGTGCTCTCCAAACAACAGGCCCTGAGCGGGCTATAGAACAACAGAACAACACAGCCACGGACATCCACCTCTTCTGTGACTGACGTGAATGAATGTGCTCACCTTCTTGGGCCGAACCGGGGGCTTTTCTCGCTGGGCTGGTTGAGCGCCTCCTCCACATACGCAACAACCTGAGCACGACATGCAAGTGCCGGTGGATGCTGCTGTACGTGTGTGCATTTGACGTTGGTCTGACCTCTTTGTCGGTCCCCTCCTGAGCTGCAGTCTCGCGCAGCTGAGGCCCGACACGCACTTCCCCGTCCGCCTGCACACATACACACATAAGTGCACTCATGCACCACACCCGGAACGACAAGGCAGCCAATCTGGCTCTGGGTCGTAAGACTGCACCCAAACCGCCCCCGTCCTCCCCGATCACAAGGAGAGGTGTTTTCTTGAACTTGGGCGCGGTGGTAGCAGACTGTCAATCAACCGCCCTTATCCACGCATTCATCCACCCACTCACCCACCACACCCCACTACCCGCTGTCTTTCTCATCGAGTTCAGCTTCTGTCAGGCGCCGCTCGAAAGGGCCGCGGATGCGCATCTTCGATTTGAGGCCAGTAAGGGGCGCTCGGATCGTTGGCTCAGAGCAGGAGCTGGACGAACGGAATAGACAAGAGGCTACCATGAGTGCCAGCCGCTGACTGTCGTCACGTCTGTCTATCCATTATCTACCGCTGGCTTTAGCCTCCTTGGATCTCACATTGAGACGCATCCCCTGACCGGTGGGCTGCCACGCCGCTGAAGAGATGCCGGACCCCTGCAGACACAAGACACAGTGGCAGGTCGCTGTTCGGTGTCTCCCTGCCCTTTGGTGAGCTGCCTGCCCTGACCTGAGGGGGGGCGGCAGGCTGCTCGGCGTCATCATGGCGTGACCTGAATGGAAGCAGGCAAGGAGGGAGACGTGCGTGTGCGTGATTGGCTGCTTTCTTGGTTTCTTACGGCTGGCTGCAGTAGGCACCGATGAAGTGCTCGACTGAGAGATAAGGCAAGGAAAGACAATGATGGATGAATGGATGGATGGACACAGGGATGACTGCCTGCCTGCGGCGTCTCCCTCCCTCCCCTCAGTGTTCCACTCACCGACGACCCGCCGCTGTTGCTCGTGGGCTGAGGGGCGCCTGAAGAAAGAAAGGAAAACGATTGTTGGACGTATATCTGAATGATCCTTTGTTTGTTTGCATTACTTTGGGTAGATGCCGGTGAGTCGATCGCCTCCTCCCGGCCAGAGAATGGTCCAGACACGTCGATCACGTTGGCGACAGTCCGAAGACATAGAAGGCATAGAGGTGACGCGCGTATGTGTGGGTCTGTGGATGGCGTGTGCCCATGGCTGACATCATTGGATGCCCATACGCCCTCAGCGAAGAGCCGAGGGGCCTCGCGTGCTTCCAAAAGGACAGGCCCTGAGCAGGCTGTAGTGAGGTGCGCATCAGGACCCGCCTGAAGAGAGGAGCAACACTCATGACATGGCTCGTACTGGTGGGCACTGTGTGGCTCTCTTTCCCGACCTGCACGTCAGACTGTCGACGTCGCCCTGGAGACCTTTGGCGGCGTTCCTGGCCACTCATGGATGCGGGGCCGGCGCGTCTTCAAACCTACCGATGGCCTGCAAAGGAACAAAGGGCGCTTGTTATGTTGATGGAAGCCTTTTGTCTCCTCAGCTTCTCGTCCACGCTCTTAAACTTGTTCACCCGGAGGGCCAAAAACTCTCGTCGCACCGAGTGAGAGAGATGACAGGCCGCTGAGGACAGATGGGGGAGAGCTGGTGGTTGCGGTGGCGGTGCCCATGATGCATTGCAATGATGTCAGCCAGCAGTTGCCGCGAAGGAGGCGGATTATCGGATTCAGCGTGTCTGAGAATCTGGAGAGCAAGAAGAAAAGAAAGCCGTCTCCTCCGTCTCGCAGAGAATCTCGACAAGGGGGGAAACTGTCATTAACCGTAACACTCGTCTGTGTGTCCGTGATACTCATACAAATACAGTCCCATCAGCACGCAGAGTCAAACAGGCTCAAGGGGAGGAGGGATCAATCCCCGCCCCATCAAGACACCCCAGTCCTGCAAACCCTCCCCTCCATGAACACGTTGGCATCGTGTCCCCACACACCGTCACACGTCACCACCAGAGGGCAGAAGGTCAGGCGGGAGTCGCAGACGGCCGAGCGGTATTTCTTTTTCTTGGCGGTCTCGTGCTGCTTCAGGATGGACTTGGTCGATCGGTTCTTGGAAGCGTAAGATGTTGCGTCAGGATCCGTA